CTATTAAAATGAAACAGTTTTTTGCATATTATAACATAAAGCATATTATAGGTATACCACACAACCCTACAGGACAAAGAATTATAGAAAGGTCAAATCTAACTTTAAAAGAAATGATTAATAAACAGAAGGAAGTAACCAAGCTCCCCAGAGATAGATTGTATAATACTATATTAACTTTAAATTTTCTATTTTTTTTTTTTTTTTTTTTTTTTTTTTTTTGGTTTTTCGAGACAGGGTTTCTCTGTGTAGCTTTGCGCCTTTCCTGGAGCTCACTTGGTAGCCCAGGCTGGCCTCGAACTCACAGAGATCCGCCTGCCTCTGCCTCCCGAGTGCTGGGATTAAAGGCGTGCGCCACCAACGCCCGGCAACTTTAAATTTTCTAAATGCTAATGAGAAAGGAATGACAGCTGCAGAGAAATACAGAAAAAAAAAAAAACTACAGAACTAAATCAGCCTGTGTAGTTTAAAGATGTATTGACCTCAGAATGGAAACCAGGATATGTGCTACATTGGGGAAGGAAGGAGTTTTGCTTTTGTTTCTACAGAAGAAAAGCTACAGATACCATCAACATTAATAAAGATTAGACTCGGACAGGAGAGACCTCTTGATCAGGAGAAGTGGTAGCTCATCCACCAAGGAGGCGATTTAATATTTCAAAAAGAAAAACTCAACAAATTAGGGTCAGGCAGGGTTTTGTTTTTGTCTTTACAGGAAAATAAAAATATCCATCTTGAAGACTTTAAGGACCATTGGACATCTAAAGAAGAAGGAAGAACTGTCTGGAAAAAATTACCAAGAAAAGAAATAATCTGGTATGATGGTATAATTACTTTCTATAGGATAAAAATCTCTTTAGCTCTCTAAATATTTGTTGTCCCGACTCAATTATAAACCAAAGCTGACTTTGGAGTTGGAGCATGGCTCTCCACTTCGCTAAACCCAAGCACATTGTTAAAAGGAAATTCAGAGCCTCTGTCTCATATCAGAAGAGCCATGGTATGGGACAGAAAAAAAAAAACAAAATTTGGGACTACTATTGTCACAAATTTCTTTCTCCAAAAATTTATTTTGACTTTTTAAAGTTTTTCTTTAGGTGTATTACTATCTTAAAATTTAAACTTTCCATTTTGATAAAGTTTATGTTTTCCACAGTAAACAATAAATTTTCTTAACAGTGATCTTGGAAGTCTCCAAAAGTATGATGGGGCCCCACAACAATGCTTCTACCTGGTTCACAATATTTTCTCAGAAGTTGATCAACATTTCAGTTTTTTCAGGGTATCATCATCTCCAGACACAGGAAGAAAATTTGGGGATGACACCCATATTCCTAAGAGGTGGGAAGAATGATATTTGGTCATTTGGTGGGTTACGGATGCTTGTCATCATTTATTGGGGTTCTTTACTAATTTGTTACTGGTTTTGGCAAGGGAGGAAATTATGCAAATGATATTTCATTCAGGGATCTCTGAAAAAAAAGGGAGGGGGGATATAGGAATTATAAGATGGAAGGGTAGATTGTTGAATCTACTATAAACTAAGGGAAAACTATTGATCTCAAGTATTTTGTATTTGTAAGAACTTTTGTATATTGATACAAATTCAACATACTGTGTGTGTGTGTGTGTGTGTGTGTGTGTGTGTGTGTGTATATATATATATATACACACACACACACACACTTTTGGTTAAAGGATTTTTGTATGTTGACATAAATTTAAGTCATTTTTGTTACACTGTATATGTTTCTACTCTTGTCTAAAGGTTTTTTTTTATATTGATGCAAATTTAAAGTTTTTATTACCACATATTGTATATGTGTTTCTACTCTTGGTTAAGATATTATACCTATGGATTTTATTTAAAAATGTAAAGTTCTAATTTTTGAAAGCTATTATTATAAACTATATAGGACAATCAAGAAACATAGATCAGTAGTTAGTCATTCATAACAATCAAATTTGTAGGTATGTTAGGTATGTTTTCTAGGTTAAATAGATATATTTTAGTTAGATGGTCTTCAAACCTTTCAAAGACCTATAGAACATGACATTTAAAATGTTTTGTTAACTTAAAGTTTTTCATGACAATGAGACACATCTGTTCCTGGCAGCACCAAATTACCTCAGAGAAGATGATGGGCATCAAAGAAACTCCTTATGGAGTTTGCTTTCATTGTGGCAAGATTAGCCACTGAGCAAAGAAACTGTTCTTGCCTTTGACTGCTGACAATGTGTTGTGCAGGCTGGACATGCAGGACACACAGGAAAAAGACTGTTGAACTTTGCCCAAACAAGACAGGACAGTCCTTCAAAATTCCTGCTTCAGGACACTGAGACAAGTGATTGATGAACTTTGCCAATACAAGGCAAGACAGTCCTTCAAATTTCCTGCTTATCTGATAATTCTGCAAAATACTATGGGTCTGTAGGCTGAAGATGGATGCCCCAATGTTGCAGAAGAAACTTTGGGTGACTGTCCAGGTAGTCAAATGTCTCTGTCATTGCTAGAGTTTTGGAAGTTGTTTGAAATGCACCTTTTGTTTACTTTAAATAATATTATCCTTCTGGGGTCTTTGATGGAGTTGAAGACTAGATAGTTATAGTTGCAGTTTTCCTTAGTTATGGTAGAGAGTAAATTAGGTATAAAACTTTAGATTCATTAATATAGGATAGATAATGGAGTATTTTCTTTTAAGTTGCCAAACACAAATGAACTAGCATTCATTACATTGTGAATGCAATCTTTACTTGATAATTGTTCTTACTGTGTACAGTCTTATTATGTTAAAGTTAAAACCTTTCTTTTTTTTTATTTAGACAAAAGGGGGGAAATGTAGAATATTATTTCAAGGTGTGTTACTTTTGTTTATGCTCTGGAACATTTAACGATGCAAAGATGCGTTTGATTAAATAAAATTCACCTGCAGTCAGGTTGAGTCAGCAACTAGCTGACAGGAAGTGGCAGGGAGGAGCCAGGTGAGAAGGGTTTGTAAGGAGGGGGGAGGAGAAGCATGAGGGCTTTTTAGAGAATGCGAGCAAGGAGAGGAAGTGGCTACTTGCTATTCAGCCCCTGAAGAGCAGAATTCCACCTTAACCTTTACATCTTGAGTTCTTTAGAGGAAGAGAGGTTTAGTTAAGTTTCCTTCATAGCTTTGCGAGAGTCGGAGCCAGAGGGAACCGATTTCCCTCCGGCTACGGCCTTTGCAGCCTAGGCCTGACTGCTGCTGGTAGCAGCATAGTTGCAGTTACTGAGTCAGACAGCTGTGGCTTAAAAGGCAGCAGCCATTTAAATAAAGAACAACAGTTGACTCCTGAGAGTTGTCATCTGACCTCCACATGTGTACCATGTCATGTGTGCACCCAAACTCCTAAACATACACAAAATAAAAGTAAAATTAGTAACGAAGACAAAACAACAACAAAGTGTTTGCTGTGATTGACTGCTTAACCAGGAGAGGGAGAGAGGAGGGAACATAGGGAGACAAACCCAGTTTGTTAGGGAGGAGTTCTGTACACATTGGACCACAGGCTCCAGGCCACTGGAGGCAGCAACACCTCCTTACTGTGTTCTTTATACAACAGTGTGGTGCCATCTCTCCAGGAATGAGCAGCAGAACCCTGTGTGACAAGAATTAAGACACTTCTGGCAGACATGAAAGAAAAATGACACACAGGTAAAAAAGCAATGTTTGAGGCAGGGTTATGGCAAACACCTGTAATCCCCGTACTCAGGAGCCTGATGCAGGATCATGAGTTTGTAGCTGCCTGAACTACATAGTAAGACCTTGTTTCAAAAAGAAAAAAAAAAATTGAAAAAAAAAACCTATAATTGGATTCTCTCATGTGATTAACTGATGACCAGTAAGATGGCCCCAGGATTGGGACCCTTCTGTCTTTAATAACTGAACCACTTAAATCACCAGGTGATCCCAGCCAGAAACACTCAGAACTGCAGAAATTTCTAGATGGGTCATTCACATGAAGAAGACAATGGCCACTCAGTGTCCCTTGATGAGGTACATGGGAGTCTTACCCTGTTTTTTTCCCTCTGTGCAGAGCATGCAGGTGCTGAGGTGTGACACTGTCTCACAGTAGCAGATCAGACATATGGAATGGTACATGGATCCCTTTCAACTTCCAGGGCATTGTGTCAATCAGATAACACACAACTATTCAACACAGGGATCTTTCTTACTTAAAACCCTGTGCACTTGCACAAGGGTTACAGAGACTGTGGCCATGTGACTCGGAAAGAACAAAACCCACTGTGCCCCACCCCATTTTTATGGGACTACAAGCCCCTGAAGCCAGAAGTGGGTGAGAAGGTTGTTCTATCAAGACCCACTGAGGAAGATTGTACAGGGCCTCCACTGAACACTGACCACTGGGGCTGGAGAGATGACTTAAGCGGTAAGAGCGCTGGTTACTCTTCTGGAGGATCTGCCTTCAATTCCCAGCATCATCTCCAGCTTCAGGAGACCTGATGCTCTCTTCTGGCTGCTGCAAGTACTAGGCATGAGCGCAGTATATGGAGGGAAAATCATACACATAAAATAATAAGAATTAAAACACCAACTTTATTCAACCGAAACATTCAAAAGGAGCATGAATAAAAACAAAGAGCATAAACACTCTGTACAGTTACCCCTGAAACCAGGTCTCATGACCCCAAAGACAGGATCTAACTACATAACATGCCAGGGCAACCAGTGCCTCAGAGTCCATGCACATACTAGTACAAAATCTGTGACCTGTCCCCCACAGCCCCCAATACACAACACTCCACCTACACACACTGCTAGGCCTCACCTTCCAAACACTGGTCACCTGAGGACAACTAAACTCCTGATGTAAATATGCCAGACTTCCCTCTGAGGTCCCTAAGCCCCTATGCTGTTCTAGATGCTCCCCTCAAATCCTAGACCAACAGTTCCCCTGCTACTCAGAACAGGCAACCTCTGGCTCTTCATATTCCCTGGGGCAATGGGGGCTGCCTAAGCATCAATGCCTTGGTTATCGAGATCAAGGAAGTCCAGGTCACTCGAGTCACTCGTGTCACTCGGGCTCCAATCAGGGGGAACTTCTCTGACAGGGAGCCCCTCCCCTGGTTCCCTGTTCCAGGCCTCTGGGGTGCTATTGTGCCAGGGCAGGTAGGAGTGCACCTTGAAGCCTCCCTTCCGCAGGCTGTAGTCAGCGGGCACCATCTCCACCTCCGGCTCTGAGGACTCCAGGATGCTCAGCTTCCAGCGGTTCAGGTCCTGCTGTTCAGGTGCATTCTGTAGCTGGACCAGCGTCAACTCACCAGGATCCAGCAACACCAGCCAGCGCTTGACCCGGGTCCTCACTGCCCAGAGAGGAGTCATTGACATCAGGTACCAGATGGCATCATCAAAAGTATTCAGCAGTAAGAAGAACTTCAGGTCTATCAACCAGGCTTCTGCTTCCCATGGATCCATGGGCCAGATGTGGCTCAACTCCAACAATACAGGTTGCCCAGGAAATGGGCCTTCATTGAAAACATCCCACCAGGACATAGGAGGGATGAGGAGCTTGTGGTGGCAGTCTTCAAAGATATCTAACCTCCAGTGAAAGGCCTGGGTCCATTCAGTATCCTCGGGGTCCAGGTCCAGGGGTACAGCTTCCTGAGGCCCCAGCTCAGTGGGCACAGGCTGGGGTCCCATTGCTACAGGGCTTGGTGTCAGGACCTCAGACCCTCTACGTTCAGAGTCAGTGTGTGGACAATATTCCTGGTTCTGTAGCAAGTCAGGTTCCAACTCCATGCACTCCTCCGGCTCAGGTCCTTCCTCCGGCTCAGGTCCTGCCTCCGGCTCAGGTCCTTCCTCCGGCTCAGGTCCTTCCTCCGGCTCAGGTCCT